AGAATGTTATTCTGTTTCTAAGAGATACTTACTGAATATGTGTTCTTGATACTGATTCTGGAGCCAGTGTTTCTTCAGTGCCCAAAGCCAGGAGTTTGGGGCAGGGTGGAAAATGCACATTTAAGGTTGGGCAAGTTGGGAGTGAAGCATGAGATTCACCATCTGATACAGTGGCATTGGAATTTTGGTGGAGTTTGTTCACACTTTATAAAAAGTTATTGTACTTTACTAGATGCCACTTGCTGTTATACACGTTTGAGGTAACATCTGTGTATAAACAGATAAGGGACCCAGACCTCCTAAGGCTCACATGTTATCATAAGAAGGCAGAACATTAACAGTAAACATAGTGGGTATGTAAAATGGGGACATGTTATAGAACAATAAACAAATCAAGATAAGGAGAAGGGATGTGAGTACAGGTAGGGGTTGGGGTTGAAATGTTAAGTGGGCTGGTCCCATTGAGAAGATGACATTTCAGCAGACTTAAATAAAGGAAGGGATTTATCCATCTGGAAGTAGAGGGGAAGGTCATTTCTGTCAGGGAACGGTGAGTGCAAAGAATTGAGATTGTGCCTGGGCAGAGTGGGGGGTGTTCTGAGAACGGTGAGGAGGCCACCGTGGCTGGAAGGCATTATGCTATTGGTATGTAGAACGAGATGAGATGGCAGTAGGAAGCTATCAAAGGGGTAGGGTTAAGTTGTGTATGGCTTAATGGTCATTGCAATAACTTTGGGCTTTTTTCTGGATAAAATGGGGAACAATTAAATGGCTTTGAGCAAGAGTGACTCTCTTGGACTTAATGTTTTAAAAGGACCACTCTGGTTACTGGCTTACAGAATGAAGGAGTAAAGAAGAGAAATGGGAAGAGTGGTGAGATCTGTCAGGAAGTCACTGACTTATGCAGGAGAGAAATGACAGTAGCAGTGGAAATGGTGATAAATGGTCGGAGTTTGTATATAGTTGAAAAGTAGAGGCATTTTTGTCATTAAAAGTGGAATGTTACAAGTGTATTAGTCAGGGTTCTCAAGAGGGACAGAACTAATGGAATATATATACATACACACGCACACACACACACATACACACGCACACACACACACACATACATCCATCCATTTAAAGGGGAGCTTATTATGTATTAACTCACACGATCACAAGATCCCACAACAGGCCATCTGCAGGCTAAGGAACAAGGAGAGCCAGTCTGAGTTACAAAACTGAAGACCTTGGAGTCTGATGTTTGAGGGCAGGAAGCATCCAGTACAGGAGAAAGATGTAGGTTGGGAAGCTAGGCCAGTCTCTCTTTTCACATTTTTCTGCCTGCTTATATTCCAGCTTTGCTGGGAGCTGATTAGATTGTGGCCACCCAGTTTAAGGGTGGGTGTGCCTTCCCAAGGCCACAGACTCAAATGTTCATCTCCTTTGGCAACACCCTCACAGGCACGCCCAGGATCAATACTTTGTATCCTTCAATCCAATCAAATTGACACTCAGTATTAACTATCACAAGTAAAAATAAAAATGAAATAAAATGAGCACAATTAATTACAATACAAGTATAAAGGAAATATGCTTAATAAAATAAAGGTAAGACCCTAAGAAACTAGAACATTTCAGCTGTTAAAATAACCACCGTTATATTATTGTCCAACATAAAGTTAATAAAAATACTCTCTTTCTTCCCAAATTAAGGTTGGGGTGGGGACAGAGATCTGGAGATTGGACGTAATAAATAGAGAGACGTTAGTCTACAAGAAGGAAGGTGTTCACTCAATGCAAGATGAAGTTCGAAGTGGATGGTTGGAATATAAAGATACTAAACCTGATAGAAATGTGCTAAGCCAGAGTTTAAGGGTTTGAAATTTGGTACATTTTCTTTTATTTCTTTTTTTTTTTCTTTTCCTTAAAAAGGCATAGAAAGAGGGCTATGGAAAGCAGGGAGAAGAAACGTCAGAAGAGAAAGCTTAGGGTGCACCAAATATCTACTTTGTGCTAATGTTGTATTACTACTCCAAGACATACCAAAGCCTGCATAAATTATCCTGACAGTCAATGCTCCTGCAATTACATTGGGAAAAAAATGACTTATGCTTAAATTGATACTTAACACATAAGCATCGAATGAAGAGTACCCACCACCAGAAATATGTGCTAGAGGGGAGCTGGAGAAGGTGATGTCATCAGGAGATGAACCAGGGACAACAGCAGAATTTAAGGAGAAATAAGGAAAGAATTCTCAATTGTCCTATCAGAAAGACTGGAATTTTTAAAAGTCAACGTGAAGCTGTTACTATGTACCATTTAATAGCAGGTAAAAATATTTCCTTAATATTATCCACTGCAGTGAATACAGTATTTTGGCTGAATAAATCAATTGGTGGAATGCAGACACAGCAATGGCAACCACATCCACTTTTATTTTTTGAGACGGAGTCTTTCACTGTTACCTGGGCTGGAGTGCAGTGGTGTGATCTTGGCTCACTGCAACCTCTGCCTCCCAGGTTCACGTGATTCTCCTGCCTCAGTCTCCTGAGTAGCTGGGATTACAGGTGCACAATGACGCACCCAGCTAATTTTTTTGTATTTTTAGTAGAGATGGGATTTCACTATGTTTGCCAGACTGGTCTCAAACTCCTGATCTGCCTGCCTTGGCCTCCCAAAGTGCTGGGATTACAGGCATGAGCCACTGCGCCTGGCCCACATCCACTTTTAAGCAAACTGTCACCCATTGCTTTCTGCAGTATTGATCTACCCTTTGTTATGCCCGAGAAGAGCCTTATTTGGTTTCCCAGCCCTCTGTTCTTCCATGGGTTGTCACAAATAGACACTGCATTTGTAAGCACCGTCATTTTGCATCTGGATTTTTGATTTAGCCAAAAGATGTGTAAAAATGTATGGAACCACATCTGAAGAAGCAAAGGAACACTACTTATTTTTCCAACCATCAGTGTGATTTACGATCACTAAACTGTTTCCCGATTCCTTATTTGAAACTTGGCCACAGCAAAAATGGAAGAGACGCAGATCTAAGGATCTGGAGACCTTGGAAAATGGGTATCAGTGGATCAAATGCTTGGCACGGGCTTTGCTGTCAGCACCTCAGGTGCATAATGCATTTCAAATTTTAAAGTGACTACTTTGATTTTGAGGTAATTCACACTCAACTGTTTCTTTAGATAGGTCTGAGTAATAGCTATACAACAAGAAAGATATTACCTGGAATGGCTTACAACACACTTTTCAAAATTTTCGAACTAAAATTAATAGAAATATAATTTTTCTAAGGGTACAATACATGAAAATTCGAAAAAAGTTTTTAATGATCTTCTCCATCGCAGGTGCCAATATGACAAGGGAAACCACAAATCCCAATAGCACATCATGATGTTTTAAAAACAGGCAGGCAAAAACTGAATGCTTCTTGTCAACTTTTTCTGAAATGTAACAACTTTTAAACACTGCTTATGAGACATATAGTATCTGAGCATTCTACAAGAAATGCAAATGCCTTCAAGATCTACAAGAAGTGAAAATGCCTCTCCAAATTCCAGTTTGAAAATGTGTCTCCAATAACAAAACGTCAGCTCCAAAATCCACAAAGCAATCCCGGCTTTTCATAAAAACCTTCCTTTCTGTCGCCATCCCCAGAAATGGGCCCACTCTAGCAGTTCTGGACCATCGCAGATCGCTTCTTGAGATCCACAGCTGCTACTTGTGGTTATGTCATTCAAAGAAGGACGTCTACGGGTCTCTTAAGATATGCTGAAGTTTTATACTTAGGGAAACTAGGAAATCCACCAAGAGATTCAAAGAAAACAATAAAAAACAAGTAAACCAGATAAAATGAGACATCAACTCATATCCCTGGAATATTACCCCGGTAATAAAGCCAATCCTCTTTTCCCTCCTCTGCATTAACTTCCATATATTTGCTCTTAAGCTAGCCACTCCATGCCTTAACATTTCAGCCTCGTCATCCTAAGTCTGTTTCTTTACTGAATATGTCTATATGTTAAGAAATCTTTCCAGAGCCTATCCTTTTCTCACATTTTGCAGGTAAGAAAAGAATATACGGGTAAGAATTAAGTAACTGAATACAGAAAACAACTGACTGAAGGAGAATCGTTAAATAATCTATCAACACACACAAATGTCCTCACCACTTTCCAGACCTCCTGACACACACACACACTTATATTGATAGTAGGTACTTGATTTTATTTTATATTTATATATTTTTATTTATTTATTTATATTATTATTTTTTTATTTATATTTATTTTTATTTTTTGAGATGGAGTCTCACTCTGTTGCCCAGGCTGGAGAGCAGTGGGGTGATCTTGGCTCACTGCAAGCTCCGCCTCCCAGGTTCATGCCATTCTCCTATTTCAGCCTCCCGAGTAGCTGGGACTACAGGTGCCCGTCACCACGCCCGGCTAATTTTTTTTGTATTTTTAGTAGAGATGGGGTTTCACCCTGTTAGCCAGGATGCGTCTGTGACCCCTCTGACCCGGTCGTCGATCCGCCCGCCTCCAGCTCCCAAAGTGCTGGGCATTCCGGCGTCCGAGCCCTGTGCCTGGCGCGTAACAAGATTTCGATTGCTCAATATCTTCCCTGCTTTCGACCAAGAGATGGCCTCATCCTCAACACCCTCTATACAATAAGTGGCAATTAAAAGCTGATACTGCATTCATATTATCTCAGAAGTCGGCTATTCTGACTCGCCTCTTTAGCCGCTGTTCACATATTTTCAACAGGCACGAGACTGATGGCCTGCTCAACACAAAAAACAGCCCCTGCGCTGGGCGCTCATTGCAGAGCCGCCTGCAGACAACGTTTCCAAGGCCTCCTGCCCGCGAACGGCCGACCCCCGGCCAGCCCGCGCTCATAGCACGCTGCCTTGAGCTCAGCCTGAAAACGACTCCAGGTACTGTTGCTGACGATGTTTCCAGGCAATTCAACGCTTTTGATCTTCAGATTCCATAACAGACACTACCTCACTGCTTCCTGACCAGGATTCCCTGTGAGCTTTCAAGCACTGACTTGCCGACGAAGCGCCTATTTCCCGAGATGTAAAGAAGATTAATTCTGATCCCACCTTTCCTATCTCTTCGCCTCTCCCCACTCATCTGGCCCCCACCTTTATGATAGCACCTATATGATATCACAATTATTTTTATCACCTATATTACAATATAAGTTTCAAAATGTAATACTATTCTATATCCTAACTATACTTATTTTTTATACCTCAATGGATACTACTTCATATATATAAATATTATATAATATATCGTATAAACCCCACCCATATAATTTATAGCATCTCAGCATATACCTTATCTATAGTCTTTTTCTAATAGTCACTTTCGTGTCCCTCCCGTTTGACATTAAACACTTTCAGCCTTCAGGGCCAGGCTACTATGATCATGGCAGATAAGTCAAAACCAAGACCACTTTGTAATATATAATATAACATAAATATTTATGTATTTATAGAAATATCTTTATATAATATAAATATATACATATATTTATAAATATAAAAATATAAATTTATAAATATATTTAAATATTTATAAATATGTATTTATATGTATTTATATTTTATTTCTATGGTTTTCTTTTTTGATGTGAGGAAACCCAAAGCTCTGAACATTTTTCTAAGCCCATAGGGAAAAATGGGTTCTTAAATACTGTTTGCTGGGTCTGAGACCACAGCCCTAAAGGTGTTCTTTCAAATCCTTCACAGAATAATTCCCTCTTTATATTGCCATCTAATACTCTCACATTTCCCTCAAATTTCCCTCACATTACTACCACCAACCTTCAGTCTTCTAGGATATGAACCTTAATTCGTGTTGTCAAAATGATTCTGCCGAGGTCATTACAGTCCTATCAACAAGGACTGGTCAATCCTGAGAACACTAATATTGGGGCTACCCTGACCACGTTGCTTAATTTGTTTTCTTCAGAGACACTTCATTTACAATTGACTCAAAAAATTTGTCTTCAGACGGGCACGGTGTCTTTCACCTGTAATCCCAGCACTTTGGGAGGCCAAGGCGGGCGGATCACGAGGTCAGGAGTTTGAGACCAGCCTGACCAATATGGTGAAACCCCATTTCTACTAAAAGAACACAAAAATTAGCTGGGCATGGTGGTGAGTGCCTATAGTCCCCGCTACTCAGGAGGCTGAGGCGGGTGAATTGCTGGAACCCGAGAGGCGGAGGCTGCAGTGAGCCAAGATAGTGCCACTGCACTCCAGCCTGGGTGATAGAGTGAGACTTTGTCTCAAAAAAAAAAAAAAAAAATTGTTTTCATAAAGGGACACAAAACAGGCTCCTTCCTATTGCAGTAAATACTTTCATTCCGAATACAGTCCGTGTATCACCAGATCACTCTTTCCTATATTGACAAGTGACTGACACCTGCCGATCACACATAAAAGCATTCCGTGTGTTCAGGATAATTGTTAGAGGTCTGCAAATATTTAAAGTTATCACACCTCCAGTTGATAATATTTCCATTGAAAAATTACCCAGAACCTTTTAAAGTGAGGTCTATACAAGTCTATTTATAAAATTTCCAGAAGTGACAACTGTGATAAATCTATATGCATGCTGTGGTCAACTGCAATTGTCATGTTAGAAATACTAAAATGGAAAGTTAGTCCAAAATCTTTCCTTGACTCTAACAAAAGTCTAAAAATCCAACAAAGCATTGTTCTTACAGATAATCACACAGCGCTTGCTTTCCCCTTAACTAGCCAAGATGAAATCCATGTTACAGGGAACACTTTTCACTACATCCACATACTGCAGGACAAATAAGCTCATGATAAAACTAAGAAAAAAGAAAGTCACCTGGTTCTCTAAACAGATTCAGCTGGATTCGCTGGGTTTTATATTCTCGACCCCTGGCTTCAAAACTTGTTTCAAGATCTAAGAGTTGTTTTTCGTTTTCCGTGATAACTGCTTTTGTTGCAATCAGTTGAAGTATCCTGTACAGACTCTGAAGTGCTACTAGGCAGCTATTGTCATGTTCGATGATCCCACAAATCTCCTGAAGCAGGAGAAATTAATCCAAGTCCAACCACAGACTGTGTTCTCTAAGCAACTTCCTGTTCAGAACAATATCAGGCATGGCGAAAATCCGAAGGGACTGATTAAGACCCTGTGGCCTAACTTGTTTGCTTTTGGCCAAATCAAGGGGACTGAGGAAGAGAAAAGCAGCCCCTGGCATCCAGGAGCTGGCCTGGCACGCACAGCTGGGCAATGGTGTCCCTCAGCTGAACCTAAACCACTTCAACTTCAGGCCAGGCTACTAGGATCATGGCAGATAAGTCAAAAGCAAGACCACTTTGTAATCATGTCTGAACACGGGTAGACACTAGCATTGTCCAAGCCACAATTTTTCTCCTGCAGAATCAGTTTATAAATATTCGCTAATTATTGTTTATTTTTCTTTCCAAATGAGGTAGGAGCGCTGTGATGAACAAGTGCAGTTGGGCTTGATTTTCTCTCATGACAACAGTGTGGGGTAGAAGCCCTGGAAAGGAAGCTTGTGGGGAGTTCCTGGTTGGTCCGTCTGTCATAACTAGAGGCCGCTGAGAGTGGGGTTAAGTGACCAGGTGACAGGCTAATCCCAACAGTCCTCCTGTTTCCTGTTTGGAAGCAGGAGGATCAGGTCTTAGGAGAAATACTATAGGAACGAAGAGAGAAGCGAATCATATTGTTTTATCCCTATTGACCCAGAACCAGGGAAAATGAATCTTGCTACACTTCCGAGAGAAAAGTTTGCCAGTCTGTCAGCAGAGCTCTAGGTAACGTGATCCTTGACCTGGGCTTTTATATGAAAGTGCTGATTGAAGAGCTTACTCCTCGTTAGTTTTGGGGTTTTCCAGGAAGATAGTTATGGCCTTGAAGTCTCTCTGAAAGATTAACTGAACAAAAAGAAAGAAAGAAAAACTGAGAAAAGGACCTAATAGCCAGAGAGAAGGTAATTATTTGATTTTATAGGAGTCTAACATAACCTGCATATTGTCCCTAAAAATAAGAACTCTGCATTCAAATGCCATCTACCTCTTTCCTCGGCGTTGAAACTCTGTTCAGGAAAAGGTTTATCTAGCTAGAATTATGAAAACTGCTTGTTTTACTTTCTCACATTGTTACCTAAAGATCCCCCCTATTTAAGGGGGAAGAATAGGACTCATGTTATATAGCAAGCGATAACAAAATAAATGGTAATAAAACGTGTGGAGACAAGAGACGTCTCTTAGGTCTCTCTTATCTCTACGAGGCTGAGTGAGTAATCTTAGCTCAAAAAGGGGCCTCTGGGGGCAGCTGTCTGCAGATGGTGTCTCCACTATGAGTCTGTGAGATGGAAGCAGGGGTAGGAACGCTCAGCATGTTTTACATGCTCCTTTCTTTTCTCTGTGTCTCCATACAGCCTTCTATAGTGGGGCTTCTAAAACTTCTTTTCACCATGCAATTTGCTGGAGGTAAATCACAAAGCCGGTCTTGTTCTATTTCCGTTCCTGACTGAGAAGTTAGAAAACCAGCATTGTCATGATCTTAAAAAGGAATTGGAGTCACTCGGTATTTAAATAAGTTAATGAGTCCAGTGTACCATCTCAAACATTCTGTCATCAGTTCTAGAAAATTTCAGGAATCTTCTGGTAAACTTCAATATTCATATCATTAATCTGCTTTAAAATCTAAAAGAACTAATGTTCCTTCCTGTGAAATAAGATTGGGCTTATAAGCCTGAAATGTGTGCACGTACACGTGGGTGCACACACACACAAATTTCTATGGCATTTCTGTGAGTAGGAGAGAAATTTGGGTTATTTCCCTTAGATAATAAATTAGCCGATTTGTAACAGAATGGCTGTGATACTTTTATGATATTTTCCTACTAAAAATATTTCTGAAGTTGCTAAACCAGGCTTCCAATAAAAATATGCACCCTGTTTGGTTACTTTTATTGATGTTTAGAACTACTGCTGGAAAACTGACAGCAGCATGCCTGTGATTTCTTTGAACACGTATGTTAAAAGTAAACTAAAGATCTCAATAAATATGCATACCATTCTCTATAGACAAATATTTATATCTGTTTTTCAGCATCCTCAGGTGGGAATAAAATCACCTCATACATATACATCTGATTTAGTAATTTACTTCTTACATTCAAAGAAACCCTTGGGAATACAAGTCTTTGAAATATCAATGTTAAAAGTGTTTTTAGGTAGGTTGAATTCTGGACTTCAGTTGGACTTCAGTTATTCAGAGGCACTCGCTCAATGGAAATCAGTTAAACAGCCTCAGAATCTTGGCTATTTGGGGGCATATAATGTGCTTTAGAATAAATCATCCTATTTTCCTGATGCATTCATTATCTTTAATTTTTTTAATTAATCATTTTTTTTTTTTTAAACAGAGATGAGGTCTTGCTCTGTGGCCCAGGCTGGAGTGCAGTGGTGCAATCACAGCATATTGCAGCTTTGAATTCCTGGGTTCTCACCTCGGTCTCTCAAGTTGCTGGGACTACAGGTGCACTCCACTGCGCCCTTCATCTTTTACTTACAATAAAAGACATGCATGAGTAAAAGGTGCACCGTCGACTGATGGACAGTACGAGGCTTAGGGGCTCTGGCCCTAAGCAGTCAAAAATCCACATATAACTTGTAGCTCCCCAAAATTTAACTACTAATAGCCTACTGCTGGCCTTACTGATAACATACACACTTGATGAACGCCTATTTTGTATGCTATATGTATTATACAGTGTATTCTTAGGGTGACATAAGCTAGAGAAAAGAAAAAGTTATTAAGAAAATCATAAGGAAGAGGAACTATATGTACTCCTCATTAAGTGGATATGGATCATCGTAAAGGTCTTCATCCTTGTCATCTTCACCTGGCATAGGCTGAGGAGGAGGAGGAAGAGGAAAGGTTGGTCTTGCTGTCTCAGAGATGGCAGAAACAGAAGAAAATTCACATATAAGTCACCAGTTCAGTTCAAACTTGTGTTGTTCAAGGGTCAACTGTATTTCTAAGAACCAAGAGGATGCGTGTACAGAAGTCATCTGCAAAATCAGGCACATTGTTTCGTCAAGTTCTATTAGTCTGGTTCTCTCATTGATTGAGCCCCAGCAATAGAGTCCATCCCCCCACTACCCAACCCCACATACCACCTTCACCACCTCTCTACAAAACCTCTAGTAGTAGGCAAGGTTCTAGAAAATACAAATCTTCCAAAATATATTTTACTCTCCAGCTCAGGCCTTTTCCTCCTATATTTCTGCTGTTATCAACATGACATTTTAAGGGCTCTTAAGGTAATAATTTAAGGTGACAGCTAAAGCCTTTGTAGGAAAGTATTTTTATTTTGGAAATCCTTTCTCATGAAAGCTGAAACAAACACTTTAAAAGAGAAAGGTGGAAACAAAGGTTGGAACACGTTTCTGTGTAAATATTCTGCTACCTACAAGCGTATGGACCAACTGATTCTCTGCCAAACATTTGTTTACTTTTGGGGAGGGAAAGCTACAGCATTGAGGCTGTCTGGAACAGGCTCTGCACTGTCATGCTGTCACTGAGGGATCAAACATGACATAGCAAATCCCAATATTTATTTGTTTCATCTCTAGGATATCCTGAGGTGCAGGCTGCTATATAGCAATGACGTAATCACATTCCTTTGAAGCCTTTTCGAAGAGGACAGGCTTCTAAGCCCATGTAGACATTGTTAACTCAGAGTATGTGATAAAAGGGAGGGAAAAACTGCTGAAGGCTGGACCATCATCAATATTCCAAGTCTAACCTTACGTCCGTCTGTGAAGCCATTTTGTCTAATAATGAAATAAAGTATATCTATATTGTTCTATTCTTTGTGTTGAATAATGTATGCCAGTTGCCATTTAGTCTTTTTTGGCTTTAGAGTCATGTATAAAGGAGAAACTGTTCCTGGGTTATCAATTGTTTTAACCACAAACAAGAAAACATTCTAATGTGGAATACCAAAACACTGCGATGTGGAAATAACACAAGAGTCAACACTCTGTAACTGGAAATATTAATCTGTGTGAAGGAAATACCTAAATTAATGTCAAACAACAATCCCGAAGACAAAGCTGATGCCCCAGCCTCAGTTTCAGTTGGGGTTTTAAAACAGACATTATTTCAGTGTAAAGCAATGGCAACAAAAGCCAAATTGACAAATGGGATCTCATTAAACTAAAGAGCTTCTGCACAGCCAAAGAAACTACCATCAGAGTGAACAGGCAACCTACAGAATGGGAGAAAACTTTTGCCATCTACTTCTCTGACAAAGGGCTAATATCCAGAGACCTACAAAGAACTCAAACAAATTTTACAAGAAAAAAACAACAACCCCATTCAAAAGTGGGCAAAGGATATGAACAGACAGTTCTCAAAAGAAGACATGGCATATAGCCAACAGACACATTGAAAAAATGCTCCGTCATCACTGGCATCAGAGAAATGCATCAAAACCACAATGAGATACCATCTCACACCAGTTAGGAATGGCAATCATTAAAAAGTCAGGAAACAACAGGTGCTGGAGAGGATGTAGAGAAATAGGAACACTTTTACACTGTTTGGTGGGATTGTAAACCAGTTCAACCATTATGGAAAACAGTATGGCGATTCCTCAAGGTTCTAGAACTAGAAGTTACCATAGGACCCAGCCATCCCATTACTGGGTATATACCAAAGGTTATAAATCATGCTGCTTATAAAGACACATGCACACGTATGTTTTATTGCGGCACTATTCACAATAGCAAAGACTTGGGAATCAACCCAAATGTCCATCGAGTGACAGGACTGGATTAAAGAAAATGTTGGCACATATACACCATGGAATACTATGCAGCCATAAGAAAGGATGAGTTCATGTCCTTTGTAGGGACATGGATGCAGCTGGAAACCATCATTCTCAGCAAACTATCGCAAGAACAGTAAACCAAACACGCATGTTTTCACTCATAGGTGGGAACTGAACAATGGAGTCACTTTGGACTCGGGAAGGGGAAGATCACACACGGGCCTATCATGGGGGAGGGGGGAGAGGGGAGGGATTGCCATTGGGGAGTTTTACCTGATGTAAATGACGGAGTTGATGGTGGGTGGCTGACGAGTTGATGGGTGCAGCACACCAACATGGCACAAGTATACATATGTAACAAACCTGCACGTTGTGCACATGTACCCTAGAACTTAAAGTATACAAAAAAAAAAGAACCATAACTCCAATTACAACACAGCAGGTGCAGTTGAAGAGTGATGACAAAATCCCTGAATAATAAAGCTGAGCGGGTAGGCTCTTAAAAAAAAAAAAAAAAAAAAGAGAGACACATTAACTAGGTATCACTTTGTATTTAAGTTTCTTTTAACTATACAGGGTCTAATTTAGGTACTAAACAAAGTTAAAACATTTTAAAATAGCTAAAAATAAGCAAATTTTGCATACAGAAAATAAATTTATGAGACACTTTAACATTTACTTACTGACCATTTGTGTATCTTCTCTTGTGAAATGTATTTTTCAGTTTTTTCACATATTTCTCTAACCATCTAAAGTGAGTTTTAAATTAATACTCACATGGAAGTAAAAGTAAAGTGTGTTAAAAAGAGGAAAAACTGGCCGGCGCCGCAGTGGCTCACGCCTGTAATCCCATGCGCTTTTGGGAGGCCCGAGGGCGGCAGATCACGGAGGTCAGGAGATCGAGACCATCTTGGCTAACATGGTGAAACCCGTTCTCTAACAAAAAAGTACAAAAATTAGTCGGGGGGTGGTGGCAGGCGCCTGTAGTCCCAGCTACTCAGGGGAGGCTGAGGCCAGGAGAATGGCGTGAACCCGGGGAGGCAGAGCTTGCCAGTGAAACCGACATCGCCACCACTAACTCCAGCCTGGGTGACAGAGCAGGACTCCGTCTCAAAAAAGGAAAAAAAAAAAAAAAAAAAAAAGGGAAAACCCCCAGGTTGTGATATATAGAGTAGATTTGAAATAAGAAACATTCCATGTTTTCGTTCATATATGGTGTAGGGAGTGAACAGCGGTGCCACAGAATTGCAACATTTTGCCTTCTGGGAAATCTCTGTGATTTATTTATTTTAGCCTGGAGTAGAAAGTCCAGTTGCTTGTCACTTGAGGAAACTCTTAGAAACATAGGAATTTGTTCAGCTTGCCTTTTGGAGACAATGCAGGCACAGAAGACAGAAAGGAGCTTTAATGCTAACATATGTAGAAAGAGAAATATTAGGGAAATTAAAAGTGAATTCTTCCATAAAGAAGGAGGTTTTGAAAAAAGTTTTTAAAGTTATCATGATTTAAATAAAGTATTTCCAGTTCTTACTCATATCATAACTGAGAATTAGGACAACTTAGACAAGCGAATTAAAATTCACATAAATACATGCTTCTTTCAGATCTTATTCAACTCAAAGCTTTGGAAATTTTCTGCAAGTCCTCATATCTATATTTTTTTCTGATAGTACTGTTCTTTTTGTTTTTACTTAATGGGTGTGTGATTTCCACAAAATAAGATGTCTGGGTTTTAAATGCTCAGTGAGATTTAACAACTGATTGCCTATGTGACCCCCACCCAGAAGAAGATACTCAACATTTTCAATGCTTAAGAGCTGACCTCAGGCTCCTTTCAAGTGCACCCCAGTGGCAACCGCTGTGATGATTTCTAAGATTAGTGATGAGCTTTTGCCTGCTCTTGAAGTTGATATAAACGGAATCCTACAGCCATAGATTCTACTGTGTTTGCCCTCTTTCACTCAGTATGATGTTTTTCAGATTAATCCATGTTGCTGCGAGTATCAGTGGTAGTTTTTCCTTTATTTTGCTAATTATTATTTCACTGTAAGAATGTACCACAATTTATTTATTCTCCACTCCCCATTCATGAATTTTGGGTATTATGAATAAGGCTGCTGTGTACATGTTGAGTAAGTATTTTTATGAATATATGTTTTCAATGCTTTTAGGTAAATGCCAAAAAAATGGAATTTCTGGGTCAAAGGTGAAAGTATGTTTAACTGTACAAGAAACTGCCAAACATGTCTTCAAAGTTGATAACTACTCCCACCATCAACACAGGAGTGCTCAAGGTGCTTCACACCTGCGACCCCTTGGCCATTCTAGTTGGAGTGAAACTGCATCTCTGTGGTTTGATTTCATATTTCCCTGATGACTAAAGATGTTGGGTACTTTTGCCTACTGGGCATCTGTAAGTGTCTTCACTTTTGAAGTGTCTTTTTAGATTTTTGCCCATATTTTGTGAAATTTATTCCTACATGTTTTGATTTTTAAAATGCTTTTAAATTTTATTTGAAAATTTCAATTTATATTTTTAAATATATATTTTCAATTTTTATTACTATATGGAAATAGAATGAATTTGTGTATATTGACCGTTTAGTTCTGTGACCCTGATAAATTTATTTATTAGTTTTTTCCCCTTTTTTGGAATATCTCATAAAGTTTTTCCATGTCTACCAATCACACCTTTAAAGAAGTATAGTTTTACTTCTTCTTTTCCAATTTGGATGCTTTCTTGCTTCATGCCTGATGCCCCTGACTGGGGCTTCCAGAACAATGCTGAATGGAAGCGTTGAGAACAAACATACTTACTGCAACCACAGGAGAAAAGCACTAAATGATGTACTATTTCCAAATAGGGTCACACTCACGAGGACTGGGGACTATGACTTGAACATTTTTCTGAGGAATACAGTTCAACCCACTATAGTCCATCCTCTGCACCCTGCCTGAATTCACATTCTTTCAATATACAAGTTATACTCACCCCATTTCAACACCCCCCAAAATCTTAACCCATGCTAGCATCAACTCTAAGTCCAAAATATCATCTAAATATCATTAACTCAAAATGTCCCAAATCTTACCATTTAAATTATTTACATCAAATATGGGTAAGACTTTGGGTCTTTCACTCGTAAGATAATTTCAAGAATTAATCTGAACTGTCCCAATAATTTCACTTTAATGTGGCAAAGAGCAAGTCCTTGGACTTAGAGAGACCTGTGCCACAAACTATACGGGGGCTCTTAAGCTTTGGTTTTAGGCAAATATTAACTTTCAGGAAGACTTTGGGTATGATTCATTTTGGAGTGAAATTTCTCCCTAGCTGTGGACTTACGACACCAGAGAAAAAGTCCTCTGCCTCTAAAATGCAGTGGTGGGACAGCCATAGGATAGCTGTTTTCAGGCCTATCCTGGGGCACACACCTCTGTCCTCTGGGATAACTTCACGGCCTCTGGCCTCTGCCTCAGTGTTTTCAGAGTCACTCTTCCCTTTTTCTTAAAAGACAACACGGGTTCACAGATGAGTAACTCTATAGGCCATTTTCCTGACTATGAAATTCCTGAATATGACACTCATCCTTTCTTTTATCCATTTCTGGATAAAAGAAAATGTCACTTGAGGAAACTCTTAGAAACACAGGAATTTGTTCAGCTTGCCTTTTGGAGACAATGCAGGCACAGAAGACAGAAAGGAGCTTTAATGCTCCTTTCAGTCAAAGTGGCAGGTTTTTTGTTTTTTTTTCTTTTTCTTTTGTATAACATTATTAAAACCCTTGTGTGTTTCATGTATGTCAAGGGAATCCACACTAGCAGACAAGGGGGCTGTCCACTGGTTCTTCCCGGATCCTGCTGCCATGATGGTTGACTGGATCCTTGAGCAGACATGCCTCACCTCCCCTGCAGAAGGTTGTCCTGCCATGTCCCTGATGTTGTCTTCAGAGCAGGCTTCAGCATCTTTTGTAATATGGACAGGATGAGAATTTTCCAAATCAGTAAGTGCTGCTTCCCTTTTTGTTAATGGTCCCTTCTTTAATTTATCTCTTTCTTCTCACAATTTATTATAAGCAGCAAGGAGAAATAGACCACACCTTATATACTTTGCTTGGAAACCTCCTCCACTAAGTAGCCAAGTTTGTCACTTACAAGTGCTTCTTTCTTCACAATAGTAATTCAGCTATTCAGCCACATTATCTACAACTTTATAATGAGGACTGCATTTCCACTACTATCCAATAATATGTTCATCGTTTCTTTCTGAGACCTTACCAGAAGCATTATTAATGCTGCTATTTCTACCAACATTATGTTTGTAAAGATACAAGTACCATTAAGACTACAGAAGCCTTCTCTACACTTGCAATCTCTTTTGGATTCCTCATCCAAATTGTCTTTACTGTCCATATTTCTACCAACAACTCTGTCTAGGCAATCTAGGCTTGTTCTTTTATATGCCTCAAAATGCTTACAACCTCCATCCATAACCCAATTCCAAAGTCACTCCCATATTTTCAGGTATGTGTTACTTAGCAATCTACATCCTGATACCAAAATCCGTAATAATTTTCTGGGGACTCCATTACAAATGCCACAAACTGGCTGGCTTAAAACAGAAATTTATTCTGTTACACTTCTGGAGCCTACATGTCAGAAATCAGGATGTCAGCAGGACCAAGCTCTGCCTGAAAAGCACAACCCCTCCTTGCCTCTTCTAGCTTCTTGTGGTTGCCAGCAATCTTTGGCATTTCCTGGCTTATAGCTGCATCCCTCAGACCTCTACCTCCATCTCCAGTGGTCTTGTCTCTGTGTGTGTTTCTGTGTACAGATCTCCCTCTCCTTTATCCACTGAACACACCACTCATTGGGTCTGGGCCTACGCTAATCCAGCATGATCTCAACTTCATTGCATTTTCAATGACCTTATTTCCAAATGAAGTCACATTCATAGGCACTGGGGTTTAGAACTTTTTATATATATATATATATATATTTGTTTTGTTGTTGTTGTTGGGGCCAACGTCGGGGAGCAATTCAAACCATTAGAACAACCATAACTGCTTTTCCACGTAGCCTGATCACTTCAGCTGTTGCCTTTTGGCAGAAGGGTGAATGCTATGTAGTTAATTATATTTCCCATAATGTTCATTACATATAGACATTCTCAGTCATTTTGAGAGGGGTGACAGGAAGACGTAGGAGATCACGTCTTGAAAACTGCAGCAACATGACTTGTCTCTGGTTCCCCATCTCCTCTATCCTGTACTGTCTTATGACTATCATGCTGCGTGCATGAACAGGCTGAACAGGCACCTCTGTTCACAACTCACGTGCCTTTGCCGAAGAAAGGAAACGGGAGTTGAGAAGTTTGGATAAATTTCAGTAATATAATCCTGAACTGTCCCAGTAATTTCACTTTGATGTGGCAGAGAGCAATTCCTTGGACGTAGAGAGACCTGTGCCACAAACTATATGGGGGTGTTTAAGCTTTGGTTTTAGGCAAATATTAAACTTTCACGGAAGCCCCAGCCCTACGATGTGGATTATTATAAGGATAATTTTCCGAGGAATACCATCCTAGATAAGGTCAACAGAAGAGTAAAATTAGGTCTGGGAAGAAGAGGCAGCCCAAACTCGTCAGGGATAATTAAAACTTATGGTAAAGGGTGAAAACCCTGCAAACTTCAAAAACAATCGATGATTGGCCGATTGGCTAGTTAGTCTGTTCCCATGATAAAGAAATTAAAATTGCGGATTCACGAGGTCAGGAGGATCGAGCCATCCTTGGCTGGGCACGGGTGAAAACCGTTCTCTTACTAAATTACCCAAAAAAACCCTAGCGGGCGGAAGGTGGCGGGCGCTGTTAGTCACCAAGCTACTCGGAGGGCTTTAGCAGGGAATGGGCGTGAACCCGGGGAGCGGAGCTTGCAGTGGATGGCTGAGATCCGGGCCATGCACTCCAGGCACCTGGGCAGCAGAGCGAGGACCCCGTCTCAAAAAAAAAAAAAAAAAAAAAAAAAAAAAAAAAAAAAAAGAAATTAAAAATGGGAAAAAACAAACACTAATTCAATAAAGGCAGTAGGATAACCCAGACACTAAAACCTGATAACAACAAGAACAACAACAGATGCACACATTTACACTTACAAAAACAGTAATAATAGGTGGCACTCATTGAGCATTACTCTGTGCCAGGTACTATCTAAAGCCCTTTACTTATATTTACTTATTTCATGATCACATCAATCATTGGAATATGTGCGATGACTTTCCCAATTTTAAACGTGAAGGAAATAAATCACAGAGATGGTAAATACCTTCAAGGTTGGAGCCATAAAGAGAAACCTGATTCAGACTGAAGAAGTCTGGCTTCAGAGTCATGTTCTCACACCGTCTTGCCTCTCTCAAGTACAGGCCAGTTCATTAATAAAACCACGTGTAAAAACCATAAGTTAAATAGTAGTCAATAAATTCTGCATGATATTGAAAGATTATTAGACTAGCTTATATTGATTGATGTATATGTTAGCTGAACAGGCACCTCTGTTCACAACTCACGTGCCTTTGCCGAAGAAAGGAAACGGGAGTTGAGAAGTTTGGATAATTTCAGTAATTAATCTGAACTGTCCCAGTAATTTCACTTTGATGTGGCAGAGAGCAATTCCTTGGACGTAGAGAGACCTGTGCCACAAACTATATGGGGGTGTTTAAGCTTTGGTTTTAGGCAAATATTAACTTTCAGGAAGCCCCAGCCCTACGATGGTGATTTATAAGAGATAATTTCCAGGAATAGCCAATCCTAGAATAAGATCAACAGAAGAAGGTAAAATAGTCATGGAAAAGAAAAGAGGCAGCCCAACTTCGTCAGGATAAATTAAAACTATGTAAAGGAAAACCCGCAAACTTCAAAACAATGATGATGGCGATGCTAGTTAAGCTGTTCCATGATAAAGAAATTAAAAAT